TTGTGTGGCAGCCTGATTGCAGAATTCTGTTCTAGGGTGGAAGCTCATTTGTTCCTTAATTCCTAGCTATTTTGGCAGTTTTTCAGAAAGGCTGAATAACACAGTGGCTTTGGAGCTTTGTGTACAGAGCAATCGTTATTCCCCAAGGGCAGTAAAGAGGAAACCAGCCTTCACTTGCCCAAGATTTTTGAGAAGAGAAATGCTGGGAAGTGGATCTTCTGAAACATGGGGTGGAAATCAGAGGGACTGAGCTGAAACACAGTGGCTACAATAATGAAGGGCTGACTCATAAGAAGCACTCAGTCTCCAGTACCACAGTAAGCACTCAACAAACGATTGTCGAATGAATAAACAGCATCACTCTAGGACCTGCTTGGCATTGTGTTGGACAAACACCACTCTGTTTTCACACACGTCATCCACCTACCCTTTGCTACTTTCCTGGGTCAACAGATCTGCCCCAGGCAGCCCAGCTCATTAATGTTCGCCTCTGGTCAGGCACAGAAGTCATGCTTTTATAGCAAGGCTGGGGTGAGTCTGCGAGGGGTAGGCCCTCCTGGATGCAGTGGTTATCTTTTGTGAGTCAAATTTCCTTTCTCATTTTCAATAAATGTCAGCTGTCGGTTGCTTAAGAAGCAGCGGGCAAAGAACAAAGCTCCTTGTGGGAAGTGTCAACTCCCCACATCCCCAATGCAAATATTGGTATTTACCTTGTCTTGGGAACCAGTATTCAAAGTCTTATAGCCCGCAGGTTTGACTTCACTCCCACACACTCAAAAAAGTCAGGTTAATTAATATAAAACCATATTATGGATGTGAAACATGAGTCTGTAAGGGGTTACATTACCCATAAAAGGTCACACAGCTAATCAAGTGTCAGTCTGGACTCTTGACAAAAAGGTCAGGAATCATCCTCTAACATCACAGCCCCTCTCCCACCCCACCGTGTGGCCTCAAGTAAGTCTCCTGCAGTCCAATGTCTTCTCTCCCCAAACAGCTTTGAAGCATCCCAGTCAGGAGACTATTCAGTGTTGGCTGGATCCCCCTCTACTCCATGTAGTAATGGGGAACTACTTTGCAATCTGTGCAACCTGTGGTGAGAAACTTCTTATATGGAGTCAAAAATCTAAATGGCTCATCCCCTGTCACCTGCATAGTGATGGAGAACAATTTTCATCTGCCACTTCTCCCTCTCATGTCCCTACACCACTCTCGAAA